ACTGTTGTGTGTATATTAAAACGTATTTGTGTTAAAAACGAAGATGGTGTGTATCAACCCTGTTGGCAAATAGCGTAAATGAACTAAAATATCAGCTTCGGACTATTCGAAATTCTAATACCTAACAACCATCAATTTTTTACTAATATATGCATAAACAGATCTTAGATTTAAAATTTTTAATGGAAATGAGAGAGAGAGAGAAACTACACATTACCGTTCTATTGTGCTGACATTAACCCCATGTAGACAATGAACTTCAACACCAGGTGGTTCCAAATCATAGGTCAAATTATGAGTGTCTTTCCACATTTCCCATCCATCTTTAAAATTAATATCCTGGAAAAACTCATAGTAGTTCCTCACTGTGTAGTTTTTTTCTGCTGTCATAACAAGAACTTCATCATTTGACCAGAACCGATCAGATGGGGTGAGATAAGCCAGGCTAGGACTAGTTCTCTGCTCCCTCCTTACTGTAATTGGATTGATGACAGAAACACCCAAATTCTCTCCTGAAAAAAATAGAAAGGAATTTTAGATGTATAGGGGTTAACATTAAATAACTATTCCTGATGAAAGCTATGATTCTTTAAAAGTGGACAAAGCTCAGTGATATCAAATAAACCTCTTAACAGTGCTAAAAATTCAGCTTTGTGATTGGTAATGAGGGTTTTACACTGGTTCACAGTTTTATAGAAATTTTCATTTTGAAGAAAGTAACATTTTGGTTGGCCAAATCAAATAAGATAAATATCATATAAATAGGGTATGTATGTATGAGAACAAAAAAGAACAATCTTAAACTAAATTCATGTAATTTATAGATGAGTATACAAAAAACTATTTAAGTTTGTGCAACAGTATTGAGACATTCATTACCAAGTGAAGTTGTATAAGAACTCCTATCATACTCTTTCCAGTTGACTACTGATTCTTAACTGAACATTGTTTACGGTATTCTGGAAATAATAGGACAAGGGGTCAAAAATTCAAGATTTGGAAAGACAGGCTAGGCTCCACTTAAGATTTTATTTTGCTAACAAAGTGATTGGCTTATGAAATGAGTTGCTGCCAGGAGCAGTGAGTGCCAGCCAGCACTTTACAAGAGGAGAAGATAGGATTTGATGATTACCTGAAAAAATAAATGTGGGTTTAAATTCTTACTTTTATAAGAGTTGAATATACAAGGAAAGTCTTGAAGAAACAAATAGTGCCTTGTTGTCCAAATGTTAAGCCTTAACTATGCCTATTGAGAAGCAGATATACATAACAAATGACCTATGCAGGAATAAGTAAGCAGGATGTTCCAATGTTCTAAATGGATATTTCATAATGATGTGTAATAATTAAAACTATTCACCCAATATTACCATCACATAATCAGCACAATTATCATATCTTTCACAGTAATTCAGAGCATAAGTAAAAACAGAAAATGAGGATTTGGTAACCCAATCAACCATGCTTTGCCATAGATAAAACTGCCAATTCAAAACATTTTCATACAAAATAATCTAATAATCAGCATGCTTCAAAGTTTAAAATTAATTTATCTTGCAGTTCTATTGTATGCAATTGTGACTTGGAAAACAAACAGTGTGGCGTTCAAAGCTAATATTATGTGTGATTACATTGGCAATAGTGCATTATTGTTGTTTGTATTACACCTAAAGATAGTAAAAACATTGGCTTATTTATTGTCATTGAAAAGATAAAATACACAAGGTTAGTGATCCTAAATAAACAGAGCATTTTGATGCTTGTACATACAATTTCGGCATTAATGCATGAAATTGCTTCCAAACTATGGATGTAACTATACAAATTTATTGATATTGATGAATCAAGACTGTATATTTTCATTGAACAGATTAATATTAATATCCCAGTGAACACCACATTATAGGTACCTTAATGAACATTTTACATCTCCAGGTTAGAAAGAAAAGAAAATGCAAAAAATGTTTTACTGACAAGTGCAAACCTTATATTAGTTCAACTCACCTGCATAAACAAAACTTTCACTTATAGCATCTAATTAAATTTTAGCTATTCTTATTTTTATTATCACATCCAAGTTTCAAGTATCAGGTGAAAACTTTATTTAAAATTATAATCAAATGTTTTATACGTTTCATTCTTCAAAGCTCATTTATAGGGCATAAAAGCTTAACTATGTGTACATAAAAGTTAAAACAAACTCAAGATAAATTCATAGTTAACAGAAATAAACAGAAGAAACTCAAAGTTACATATACAGCAGTGCATATATCACAAGGTTAAGTCCAAGTTACATAATCTCAAACCTAAACCTTAATTCATATTTTAGCACTTAAAATCACCCTTTATAAATGCAGATACCTGCACACATTTCATTAAAATAAATATGCAACAATGAAAGTAGGAGCTCTAGAAACATGCACTATAGTTTTGTATAGTAAACAATTATAGCAGTAATACTCTACCTGAAGCAAAAGCCTTCAGGGCTTTGACAGCTCCTCCCCATGGTGCTCCAAGTGAAACAAGTCCCTGAATATATTTATCTTTCCATGTCTGTGATTGTTTGTTAAGCATGTACAACATTACCGGACACCCCAAACTATGACATATCAGTAACACCTTATTTTCACTTTTATAGTATGTTTCTTCCACCATCTTGACAACATTTTTCAGATAGTATTGCAATTCATCTACAAATGAAAATCAATAAATATTATTGATGAAACATTTTGTACTAAGAAGTCAGGCGGAAAAAAAAACATTTAGATAAATAAATAAAACAAGAAACCCTACAATCCTGAACTCTTTAGAAATGTAGACCTTCTACATAAAAGCTGGTAAATTGATCTTCAGCAATGTCTTGAGTACCCATGGTAGACAAACCCAACAACATTAAAGAACATTTTGTCTTAGCCATTTTGTTCTTGGATTAAAATAGAAAATTTTTTAATAACATTTCTCTAATTCTTCCCTCTCCATTTATTATTTACTTTGTTTCTCCAACTCCTCTTTTCCACCCTATTCCCATCTTTTCCATGTCAAAAATCAATGTAACATCAACGAAAGTCTCTTTTGTAAGCCTATAATAAATGAGAAAAAATTAAAATTGTGAAAGTTAGCGAAGTGATATTCAGTTACATCATTGATATCTATGACAGACATCCTGGCAACACAGAAGTGTTTAAGTTTGTTTTGAATTGCAGTTTTAATGTCTAAAGATTAAATGTGATATCTGGTCATACTGTTTATGTAAATTAAGCAACAAGTCCTTTATGTTGAATCAGTGTTTTCAATTTCCTATATGTGTGTATTTAAGGTATGATGTGAATAATGTTAAAATAAAAATATAGAAAAAAATCAAGAATTTTATCTTCACACACAAGTCTTACTAACTGTGCATTTATTTATATCAAATTTATTAATAGCATTAATGATAAGTATACAACTTCAGAAAAAGAAAAACTGTAATTACTACATAATGGTTCATATTGGTAAAAAAAATGAACTATGCATTACGAGCCTTTAAATGATCCAATTTTTGGTCATTAAATAGTATGTCCAGATTAATTACCTAATGGTATTTATAATACTACTCATGGTATGAAAACTCTAAAAGAAACATCATAGTTTATTGTTAATTGCATACTTTTTCTTGCCAGATTATCTGCCACTGCATTGCACTCTACAATGCCATGCGTACAAAGTATTTAATGATAATTTACCAACCTTTATCTCTAAGATATCACCTGAGCAAGCACCAATCAACTCACCTACTTTATATTGAAGAGGGATTAGGTAAACACACTTTGTTCTTACCTTTGAGATACAGGCTTATTATATGTCGTATGTCATTCCTACAGCAGACTTAATTATCTTTTATGGAATTATCATACTGCTCTTGATGAGTTAATAGGGATGTGGATATGTGTGTTATTGATGAAATCACACACATTTTTTGACAAAGGCTTTCATGAAGGCAAATCTCAATTGAGAAGAATGTACTAGTTCTTAAACAGGTAAATTTTCATACTTGTACAATACTGTAATTCTTTTAACTCTTCTAATATGGATGGGTGGATTCCACACAGCCCATATTCCCAGATATAATCATACTGTAACTTTTTACAATGTATATGTATCTTCACAAAATTTTGCAGATTATCAGTAAATGTTACAAGGCATTTGTATACAAAGTATCAGATTTTTAATTAGGTCTTAACAGTTCTTAATTAATTATTTACTTGGGTATTTTTATTTTCAAATGTTGACTAGCCAACATGCAAAATAATTTTGATTTTAAGATTAAAAATACTTTTATGCATCAGAAAAGTGTCATATTTCACATGTGAAATCTCTATAACCTCCTAATTTCTTCCAGATAATTATCAAACACTTTTGTAGAAAAAACCATATTTTATGTTATTTTCACTATTATATCTCTGTATGGTTTTGGTCAATTGAACCGACCTCATAACCGCCATAAAAAATAGGAAATAGATATGTTATACTTTTTCGTTCTAAAATTACTACAAATTATAACACGAAATCACAAATGTTTAGTCTAAATAGCTTAAATCTCATAACATTTTACATATATAAAAATTTATTCTTTTTATTTTATTGACCTTTCACCAGCATCTGACTAACATTACAGAAGTTGAATGACGTGGTGCACCACATGCACTCATGTCACAGTATTTAATAATATAAAACTGGCCTTTATAAAGTGACCTGGCTTGGCTGTGTTCTAGTGGACCAGTATTTTGTAAAATACAGTCACATTTCAGTTATGATACATTATATATGTATATACATTATTATTATTTACAAACAGTAAATAAAGAAGAATAGAAAACAATTCTCTTCTAATTACGAACTTTGTACTCATTTGCTGCTTCCCGTAATTTGCTAAGCCTTATCAAATTTCACATGTAGAGAATGTAAAAGAAAATAACTTTTTTAGATTTTATATATGCATTTTGAAATAATAAAAAATCATAAATTACTACATAAATACCACTGCATACAGACAGGCAGTAAAGACTACAGTTTAAAATAAGAAGCTAATGAGAACAACGTCATGTTAACAAGAACAAACAAACAACTGTATACTTGCACAAACTAAAAAAGCACAAACGTTACCAGGGTTTGGTTAGGTCAGGGATTTGTAATGTTGGAGCACTATTAATGTATGCTAGCTTGATGACAGGTTTGTGAGGTGATTAACCCTTTAACAACAACACACTTTCTAAAATCCTTTCTGCACATGTCAAAATTTAATTAAACTACTTTACTATTAATATTATTAATGAAATTATTATTATCAAGTGCATTATAGTCCAAAGTTTTGTATTATCTCAGTTTTATTCCTTTATTTCAAAAGAAACATTGAAAGCAATAATCAAATCCTCAGTCTTGTGTCACATGATGCATGAGCTATAAACAATGTCAAATTTTGACAAAGTATAGCTTGAAGCTATAAGGGGTAGTCATGTACATGTAAGTCTAGACGAGAATGCCACTTTCTTGCTTTTTTGACACACGTTCAAAGTTCTTTAGCTGAATACAGTTGAAAAAGAAATAAAATTTGTCAATGCCTGACAGGTGCCATGCCCATCTTTATAAAGTTAACATTAAGCTTTAGAAATTACATGTAATTTCAACATGTATATGTATATAGTTGTTAGAAACAGCTCATTTTATGCTATAATCCAACAGAGGTTATTTTGAAATTGGCACCAAGTTCTCATCCTCAGGTAGATGTAACTGCTTGTACTATTGTTGGCTGCTTTGTTCACGACAGCACTTCAGTTGTTTCTTACCTAAATATATTATAGTTAGAGAGAGACAGTTAAATTGTAATTAAATTTTACTTTTATATTTCAGTTAATTGTGCATTATTTGTGTTTTGAAATTCATATTTGAAAGGTTTAGTAATTTTTATAAAATAACCAAAGCTTCCCCTTGATCTACAAGGCTTACATTACCAAGTGTGTAAAAAACATTTTGCCAAAGGCTAAGATCTGTGCCCTTCATACCATTCTATCTCCCATGGGTACCCATTGACATGTGTCGACATAAATAATCGACAGTAAAGAAAAGGAAAGACAAATAAAACATTAAAAATAAACTACAAGTGAAAATGTTAAAAATGTGAAATCATGCATATGACCCAAAGATACTTTAAGATCATTCAATGAAGAGTTAAAGGTATGTACATATTTCTATTTCTAAATTTTAAGCATTTCATTGCACTGCACATTGATAATAATAGCTAGAGTTAGAGATATGGTAGAGAAAATGGAAAATAAAATATAAATATTTACCTTAAAAAAACTTTTGATATTCATTTAGGAGGTTCTAGAGATTATGCAAGTGAAATATGAAAACTGTAAAATAATAAATAGTATTTTTATACTCAAAATGAAAATCACCTAACAGGTGAACTGTTCAGAGTCCGAGTGCAAATAACTATATTAAATAAATTTTTATTTGAAATAGTAGAAAAAAACCACAATTAAATAATTTATTTTTCCCAAACTACATACTTTATGATAGTTCTTGTCAAGTTTTAAACAATTTCATCCATTAGTTTTATTACTGGAAGGAAATTTAATGAGAGTTACTTAATGTGCTTCAGTCTGAAGCATGTTATAGGGTTAAGGAAGATCAAACACACTGAAAGCCAAGAAGTGCAACATGTATACATATATAGTGGTTGTCACTGTATTTGAGAAAAGAAGTACACCAGAATTTACTACTTTAAGGCTAAAAGGCAAAATGAAAAATACGCCTCACAACTTTTGTGATCAGGGCAATGCAAATAACAATATGCCTACAGTACATCTGAGCGAGGTACCATTAAAGGATAAGACCAGATTTTTTTCTTATAATAATTAGTAGGTGTGCTCAAATTAGAGTAATCTACAGTCCTGCATTATATAAATAGCCATACTTTATTCTACAACATTCAATAACTAAAGAACAAAACTGATATACAAACACATTAAAATGATAATTCATATTCGGCATTATGTGAAGTATTTAAAATGCTTCAACTGAAAATAACCTTAAAAGTTCTAAACTGTAAACCACAATATGTTCCTTCGTTACCGGAGAGACATAAATTTTTTTTTTGGTTTTAAAATCTTAAACCCTGAATAATTAGATAAAATTTTTCTGGAAAAATAATATTTATGCACTAACTCTGATATCAATAAATCATGGAAAAAAAAACCACTCATAATTCCATTAGTAATAATACAGGTCTTTGAATTTTATCATTTTAAATTGATTGAGTAGAATATGTTGTTTTTCTTATAAATTCATTTCACTCTGTTATAGTAAAAAAACTGAAATGACTGTGATGATGACTTGTGATAAAAAAAAAAGAAAAGAAAATGCTTTGTGCACTACACAGAGAGCAGTGTATTTCTTTTGATTAGTTTTCAGTACTGTTACACTAGCCCCCCAATTTTTTTTTTTCTTGATGAATGAATAATGTTATAGCTAATCATTCTCTCGCAAATAAAACATTCTCACGGTTGCAATTTACAAAACAATATACTCACTAGGTGTTTCTTAAAATCAGCCTGAATATACCCATTTTATCAAGTCTGTCTATTGCCATTCAACATGCTATTTAAATATAAGATTTGTTTTGAATCTCTTCTTTGCTAATAAGTAGTGTAATCAGTGTGAAACATCTACATGGCAATATGATTCTGGAGCTCCCAAAAATATTTCAACTTTTGCATTATGGAACAAATTAGAAAAATTTGGGGACTGGCTTAGGTCAGCAGAAAATGTTTAGTTTTTAGATTCTCTGTACAATCTAAGCATACTTTGGAGTCAAATTGTATTTCATTAAGGGCTTTTCCATGTTTATAAAAAAATATTCCAAATGTGCGTATACTGTCACTTCACTTATGGGACCATCCTTTATGTACAATATGTGCTATCCATTTTTTTAATATCCCAGACCTACACACAAGTTATGATCTTTACATGTATATACTTAAAATTCATTCTCCACTAGCAAGTTCTAGCTTTTGATTCTCTCTTCTACCACTATACTGACCAATGAAGCTTAATATTAAAAATCCTTAATTCTATTTGTTCCCCACTGTAATGTCTATTTCCCTCAACATATAAACATCTTTCCTTCATACTATTTGGAAATACTTGCTGATAATGATATTTACACAATCATTTAAAACAAGCACTCAAGCAACAGACCTTCCCCATGGTACAATGGCTTTATGTCACAAACACATGACTCAGCAATGATGACTGCAAATGTTTCTAGCACTTGTAAAACCACTTTTCCAAGTGGCTCAAGTGAATTACACAGAAATCTATGATTGCCTTATGTCGAAACTGCCATAATATTGTGAAGATTTGATGGGAATAAATTATGCATGATATGACTGAAAGGTCATTAATAAATCGTAGAAGTTGGACCTCTGAGGGTTTTTTTTTGCCAAAACTATTTTCTCCTTCTTGCATCAAAATTTTACTGAAAACATCCTAGGCAAAAATAAAACCTGTGAAATTAATAAAGTGTGAATAAGGCTCATGTCTGACTACACTAACTTTCTTAATTATCAAACTGTGTTGAAGTATTCTAATGTTTGAAACAATGAAATTATAAAAATTAATGTTTTTTTGATGGTACTAACTGAAAAACAATCCAATTATAGAAATTCCCTCAGGAAAACTGGATCACTATTTAAGAAATATTAAAGTTTTAGTGCTGCTTGTGCAATATTAGAAGGTTATTTTTAATATAATCAAAAAATAGAGCATTCATACATCACACAAAAATCTATATGCAAATTCATTGTAATGTCAACAATTTCAGTGTATCATTACTGCGACGAAATATATTAGTCTAACATTACGTTGCATAACTGGCTAGAATCAAAAATTAATGTTTATTTGTGAGGGTATATATTAATTAAGGATACGAAAATTTATTTAATGAACCAATTTCATTTTTTGTAGAAAATCACACCAGGCAGTAGTAATACCAAAAAAACAGCTTTCAAAAAATCCACATGGACAGCATTACATCAAAAACCAACGAGGATACAATGAACAACTACAAGACGTGAGGTGTAAATGAATCCTCCATAGCAGTATTATTAATTTCATATCAAAATTTATTTTTAAACTTTTAAATATTTACAGGAGTTTTTGAAATTTTTAGTAAATTACAATTTATTCTGTTACAAATTTATATTCATTTATTCTATTATGAATTTATATTCAAACAACACGAATAATTTGAAAAACTCCACAACCATACATGTGGCATTTTTGATAAACTGCCCAGATAAAGAACATTGTCAAATGACAGCCTAACTGTTGAGAGCTGCAATAATATTAATAGAATACTAGTTTTTCATATAAGACAAATTACTATAGTTCTTTTTGATGCTTATACTATTCTTCAACACTTACTTGGTGCTTTACGAAAGTCATATGGAGCTCCTCGGATGTTAACTCCCCTGCTGAAACCCCATGGTAGCAAATGTTCAACTATATTTGTGAAATAAGAACCTAAAAAGAGAACAAATACGTTTTTTGAAGTGACAAAAAATAGATTTATATAGTTTCTGAAACAAAAATGTCCACCAAATAAGTTTTTTTGAAGAGACCAAAAAAAAAAGGATTTATATAGTTTCTGAAATGAAAATGTCCACCAAAATATAATTTCGCAATTAGTTTAATATTTCTACTAGTCTAATTAAATGTACAGTACAACAACCATCAAAGGTTTAAAAGGTCACAAAACATGTACCTACTTACATCAACCACCTGAATAAAGTGTCTGCTGACACAAGTTTATAATTTAAAGTTAGTATTTTTGTAAAAATTTGTATGTAATAGAAAATATCACAGTCTGATCACTTATTTACATGCACTGAGTATAAGAGGTTAAGGACTCAGATAATTGTTTTAGAAGCTGGTAGAAAGCAAAATAAGTAACATTCTACTAGTTACTCTTAAGGAATGGCAAAGTTCAGCACATTACATTAACAACGAGAAGGTCCAACCCAACATCTAGTATACTAGAAATAAGATAAGACAGCAAGTAAGCTAAATGCATTTAATCAGTTTTCAGGACATACACACACACATATACACTAATATTCACTCCTAATAACTGAAAATAAAGTTTTACTGAATGAATCATTTAATAGAGTAAGGTTTTTCAGAGGATGTCTATTATTATATTAACATAATTTGAAAATTTTCATCCATTAGTACAGATCATATACTGTAGCGACATAAATGAATCTTCTGTTCTATTATAAATTTTGGGCCATTTTTGAAAAGACCACTTTAACAAGCTCGTAATGAAATGGAAGACTGGTGAACTTCTTAACCCACAAAATTAGATCATATCTGTCTGTCTGTCCAAGTCAAAATAGTTTTGGAAAAAAAAAAGAGAAGAGTAAATAAAACAATTGGTTCCTCTATTTCATAAAAGTTCAAATGTGTAGGATGTTCTATAGCTCATATTTAAAGTACAATAACATCATCAAAATAGGTTTATTTTCTCTTACACCTTACTGATTCCCACTTCTCCATTACATCACCACAGTCCCAGTGCAAACGGAAATAAGATTAAATATTACAAAGAAATAAATCTAATTAAACATTATTTATTGCTTGATCCAAGGAACAGTACAAGTAAAAGAAAATGGATTGCTCTAAACATAACCATAGTAAGCAGGTGTTCCTAGATTTTAGAAGTCTTCCAAGACTACATGAAAAATAAAGCAGTCTGCACTTTTTATGAATGCTGGTTTTTGAAAAAATAAAATAAAATAATGGGCTGGTAATTCAAGAAATAAAGTATTCAACAAAATCTGAGAAAGCAACTGCCCTCTCAAATAAAAACAGGTGTGTTTACTACAAGTCAATGAAAAAAGTATTAATAACTAAAGTATACAAGAAAAGGGTATAAACAGTTATATAATTAAAATTTACTTTCTTCCTGTGTTTTCTTCCTATGTGACACATCACAAAGCTTTATGGGTATCCTTTACTGTACATGACAAAGTTTTAGTGTCTTACATTCAAAATTTTATTAAACTATTTTTTGTTTATGTTATACCAATTAGTATAGCATAAAATCTTATCCTGGTGGATAAAATAGAGAAGAGAATATACCTAGAGAAAATGTGTCACGTATGTCACACTAGGGGAAATTCAGGATTTTTTTAAATATTGCCTTATAGAATTAAGAACTTAAAACTGGTATACTATTAAAATATGGATTATTCCCCTTCAAAAAAAATACAAAATTAAACTCAATTGTCATTGCTCAGACAAACCGTAACTCTTATAGACTTCGATTTTGTTTGGTTACAGAGCTAACAAATAGAAAATCAAAACCCTCATGCCACACCCACCTGTCACATCCTCTATTTCAGGATTTGTTAATAGTTCTCTCTTACGTTTAATTATATATTACCTATAACTAATAGAAAGTCAAGGTTTTCATCTATCAAATGACATATTTTATAATGTTGTGTTCTGAACAGAGTATCATCAATTTCACTCAGAGTACGAGATTCTTTCCCTTGGGAAAGTTAATGAATAGCTTGGATGAATTTGTAACGGCTCTTGTCGCATAGTTAGAAAGCCAGAAAAATTTTGAGAGTTGAGGGAAATTGTTCTGTGGTGCATTATTTAATTAAATAAAAATTATTTAGTGCATTACTAGCATTAGTATAAAAAAAAAAGTAGGATTACCCGTCATCAACAATCAACAGCAGAAAAAAAAAAGATAGGGTAAGTACTTTATTTCTTGTTTTTCATGTTTATTCTTTATTTAATATTATAAAGGTATTTAAAATGTAAAAATAGTGATCTTTTTAGGTTAGTTAAGATTAAATTAGGTGAAATAAATAATAATAATATAATAAAAATGTTTCATAAGGCACGCAAATAAACAGCTCGTAGCTCGTGGGTAGTGTAATTCTATAGTGTAACGTGAGCTACATGTTCCCTGTGTGGTTTACAACTTATAATGGAGAGAATAGTAGTTAGACACTATGCAAAGGGCAATAAAACAATAACATTTAATTATAAATAGATGAATATTGTTATGTGCTTAAAGCTACTTAGGATAAATGAATGTAGTTTCATGTTACATTTTGAAGTCACTCCCAAAAGAAAAAAAAGGGTAATTTAGATTTATTAAGAGTTTTTGTTTGGTGGTTATGAGGTTGGTCAAATTGACCAATCCCATAAAGAGATAGGTTAGAGAAAATAACAGATAAAATATAAAGTTTTACTGAAAAAAAACAAAAAACATTTGAAATATATTTAGGAGGTTTCAGGGATTACACAAATGAAATTTGAGATTTTTGGGATGATGAAAAGTATTTTTATTCTTGATATGAAAATTACTTTGCACACAGACTATTAAAACCAAATACTCAATATATTCATGGATAAATCTTTATTTTAGTTTATTAAAATACTTCACTAAAAAATATGTTTTTTTGTATGTGAAAGACTTATAATATTAACTGAAAGACTGCCAAATTTTGTGAAGATATACACACTATATTGAAAGTTAGAAGTATTAAATCTATAAAGACTTTAAATGAGTGCAAAGAGGTCAGGTGGTCAGTCAAATTGACCGAGCCTGTGTTCAGGGAATAAAAGAGATGTGCTAATTTCCACATTTTATTCAGTGATGCTAATTTTACACATTTAACACAATTACTCATAACCATGCATGTGAGAAAGTAAACAACTACCCATAGCACAAAAAAATTTAAACTATATTATAAAATTTATTTCTTAAAACATATTTCACTGTGTACATCACGTTACTAAAACTCATAGAAAAAATTTTTAGTAAGAATAGTTTAAACAAGCATGAAAGAAAATGCTTGCTTATTACATAATAATGCAGAATAAAAACTTTTATAATAAAAACAGAAAATCCACATTTTAAAAATTGAAATGGAATTCCACTAATATCTACTTCTATAGGGACAATGAGCTAATACTTTTTTGGACAGCTGCTAATAGCTTCTTTCTTATCACATCCTAAACATCACTTTGAGATGTACAATATGAATTCTTGGATTCAAACATTTACAGCATCTATAAAATTCTTCTCCACAGAACATCTGAGTAACAATGTATTGTTAGGTAGTGAATTATACTTTTATTTCATTATACATAATTTTTTTAGATTTTATATAAACAATTGAATGACTAAAAAATTACAAGTTACTACATCAATACTACTATAATTTATCAAGCTTAGTAACTAAGATGTATTTTACTCTAAAAAATATATGAAATATTGAACAAACTAAAAACACACCCTACCTCCTTGAAATATTGGTTCAAAAGAAAAAAATGGCATCCAAGCCCATTAAAATGGCTGAGGGGACATTCTGAGCTTCCAATTGGTTATTCATGTCATACATAAAAGTTAGTGTATATAACAGAGTATTTCCAAAAATGGAAAGAGGTGGGTGGGGTGCCACTGTGTTTGATTTATTACGTGAGCAATATATTAGCAAATAGAAAATATAAGACATTCTTATTTTATATTTTACATTGTAAATTTTGGTAATTTGAGTTTCTAATTCGTATGAAACTATAGACTTAGTATTTTGACTTCACTAACATCTAATATGAACCAGTGCTGCATTCAACATACCACGTGACACACAAAAATCAATGTTTATCTGTTTTTAATATATATACTTTTAAATTAAGAAATTGAGTAATGTGTAGTACTAAAATTTCAATTATAATCTACAGTTTTATATCAAAGTTATTGACATAAATTCATGAAATAGTAGTTCAATAAAATTTTGAATGCGAGTCAGCAAATGAGATGACATGGCCTTTCACCCGTGACTCGTCTCAAAAGGGTTAAAGTTGCAAAAGTATGTCTTAATAAAAGTTGTCTTATACTGTATTGGATTTAACCATAAAAACTGCCACTAAAACTATAGTTGAAACACAAAAATCAAATCTATTAAACTTTAACAACCACAGGAGTAAAAAGTTTAAACTTTGAACAATTATAATACAAAATTTATATCTCCCTAAAACACAGTTAACAGGTATGTGTCTGATCATGACTTGCTACAGACTTTAAAAAACAATATACCACAAATATCAGAGTTAATAATTATTTCAATAGATAAAGGAATTAGGAAAAAAATAACCAGAAGAAAAAAAAACTTAATTCTTGTCATGAGCTAATTTGTCAAAGCTCATGACAGGATTTTTATTCAGTACTTCAATCATGAGATTATGTTTCATATGAACATAAATTTTCATATTCTAAATGTAGTAAGAATGAAACTGAATAAATTTATCAATAGAAACAAACAATACTAACTGAGTAACATTTTAAGCTAAAAGATACAGATTTCAAATGCATAACTGCAGTTTTAGATAAAGAATTTTGCAGAATAGTAATATTTGAAAGCAACAGAGGTTGAAAGCAAGCAAACGATAGCATATACTATGTTATAGCACTGTGGAAGTAAGAATATGCGTTTCATACTTGTGACATAAGTGTACGAATAGGGGATGAATCTTATAAACCTAAAACCTATAAAAAACATTGTTACCAGAAATATGAAATGCTATAGAGGAAATCATGAGATGAATACTTAGTATTATATTGCATCAAAGAATGTACATGCACAGGTAGCTATATATTCAACAGTGAACTAAATTGTTTTCTAGCAGTGAGTCTGTTCAAAAGTAGAACTATTCATAAATGTACATACTTGGAGACACATGACTTGGATCTAACCATTCCACACTAGTTGTGTTTCCAAATCCTGGTACATTGATATCCACACCTGGTGAATTCGTTGTTGTTCTGGTATGGTTGTCATAGACCAGCCTGTAAAACTTTCACTGAAGTAGTATCACTATCATAGGTAATACTTATAGTTGAAATAAAGTACAAAATACAATGATCTTATGACAGCTCAACATAGTTCAAAAGTTAAATAACTGAAAGTTGCTTTAAATTATCAAAGTTAACTAAGTTCCAACTATAAAGTTAAGATGTGTACAGGGAGAAAAAAAGTGAGGTAGTTACATTACACATCAAAAAGATGATAATTTTACTAAAAATATTCCTGAAGTATATTTTATATAAGTACATGTACTTTTGACCAAATTAAGTACTAAATATTCATTGTCAACACTAAGAATGTACTACACACAATTAGAACTAATACATATTAATAATAAAATGCAGAAATCTGTTACAAAATACAACACAGTTCAAAGTTGATGTAAAGTTTAGCTTATGGATTTTGCATTTAAACTATATTGTTCTTTCTATAGGCTATGCATACAAAAAAAAGCAAAATTGAAATGGAAAAGAGAGCAGACATTGCCTTCCTAGTAGGACATGTGCTTTTCTGTAGAAGTTACTGAAACTAATTTGATCATACTTTTTATTAAATATACATATGAATGATACTAATACAAGTAATATTACAAGTTACATGAAATAGCACAATTAACTTCCTAGCTACATATACTTGAAGTTATGAACAACTTACTGAACTTTGTCACTTTTTTCTTTAATACAATACTTACAAAATTTTAATGGCAACAGCCTTAAGTGCGATGAGCTTAAAGAAAGATCATTTCATATTAAACTTCCTACTAAAAAAAAAGTGTTAGATATTGAATTATCATTCATTTTTTTATATATTTTGCAAACTAAATGGCTAAAAGAAAGAAATACATTTAATTATATCTACAAGTTTACATTATTTTTAGTTAACACTACTGTTTAAGAATTAATATGAAATACATGGGGGATATGAAATGAAAAGTTTATAAATTTTTCATATATTTAATAGGAATTTGAACAACAGTGTGAGTCTTGAGCTGTGATTTTCTGTTTATGTATTTGTATTTTGGATGAATTTTATGTACTTGGCAGCTTATATTAGTCAAATGTTTGCAATTAAGATAAACAAATGCCACAATCAAATTACCCAAGTCCAAAGTGACAATGAGAAAAGTGATTCTTCTCTGCTCAATTTTTTCTACTAACTTGTCCTAGGTATACATTATACACTTTGAATACAAAAAAAAAATGCAAAAACTTGTACATTAATGTATCTACTGAAAAGCACAAAAATATTAAAGCAAAAAGTTCATTATATATTTTAAAAAGTCTGAAAATTTGTTATTCACTTGGAAACAAGCTTGAATGAAATATTATAAAACAGAGAAAACAACAAAATTTGGGATAGCATGTTATTTAAAAATTTGGTTACTATAATATCACTTTTGTCAATAATGAGGTATTACAATGCATTAGATTTTTGATGGGAGTAAAATATTATGGTTACTTTTTATAAAAACAAAACAAGACTTAAAATCCCCAGCTGGTCAGATTCACCAGAAACTGTAACTTGCTTGATTAGAAAGTAACAAGTTTATGTACAAGCCAAAGAGTATATTACATATACTAACAAATAATACATGCTAAATACTCATATGTCAAATACAACTGCTATACAAACACAAAGGCACAGTATATACAAACAAGCACAACTGAATCATAGAAAAATCACAAAATATTAATGCATAATTTACATACCTTATGTTGTCTACCCAACAATCCAATACATATGGCACCAGAAGTTCCAAATTAAGCCAAAGGTCAAAGTATTCACTAGTTTCTCTATCGCAGAAATAGTGAACCACTTCTGGTTTTTTCAACTTGGCTTCTAGCTGACTGCCTCCATCTCCAGGAACTTATCAAAATAATTTAACTTTAAATTTTTATATAACAGAATTATTGTACATTTTTTATACCTTATTCATTAAGCCTTTCACACAACTTACAACTATTCTTTATCATCTCTTGAACTCCCTCTGCAAACTTTACAATGCTTTGCCATTATCAGTTTAAACTCAGCATTGAGGAATAATAAATAATAAATTTATGCCCCTCAATAGTTTTTGTCTGATAAGAAGTATAAAATGAGTGCAATAAAGGTTTTAGTAAAAATAATACTAGACAGACTATTGATCAGGGAACACCAAACTTTGAAGGTGTTCACATACGATTGCCTAACAGAATGCTATTCCTATATAATTTTCAATTAAATTAACTTCTGATCAGAGCAAACTACCTACTTAAGTGAAACTAAATATCAAACTAATAATGAGTATAGCTAATTAAGTGTACTTTTCTTATATTATTATTTACAAAGACTAGAATGCATTGTTTCATCACTAATATTTTATGTTTTCTTTACCGTAGTTCCAGTTCTTAAGACTGCATGTAGTAAAACAAAATCATTAAAGAAAAAATCAGAACAGTTTAAAGATTTCTTTCACAATAGACAGCTCCCAAAGTTGCTTGTTTAACAGAGGAAGGAACTAATGTAAAAGACAAACTGATGAAAGAGCAACAGCAAAATATGAATATGAAACAATGAGATGATATACAGTAATCTTATCACAAGTAGTACTGATATACATAACGTCCTGGAATTAAATTCTACCAAAGCATCGATTTGGCTTTGTACAAATTAGCAGTTGTAAAATCTAAAAATGATGTTTGTTCATTAAAATTCAGTCATAATTTATGCACAGATTATAACAAAAACAATGAAATGGTATACATTTATTGTCTTCATCTTTAATCATTTTTTTTTTGACTACAAAATGATTTATGATACTTAACCACTATTAACTTTTATCACATTACTGTAATATTAACATAAAAATTACATAGCTCCCAGTCCATTTTTAAAAAACAACAGGTTAAAAAAATGAAAATAGAGGTTTTTGTATCCTTGTTGGCCAGAAAAATATAGCTTTTTATAGGTTTTCTGCCTAATTATTAATGCAAACAACCAATTTCTCATACTGAGTTACTCATAAAAATCACAAAGAAAGAAATTATTGGGACCAAAATACATTTCTTATGTTTTTACCATGAGTATTTACCAATTAATGAGACTTGTTTCATAAGTTTTGTTTACTATCACAGTGAAGAACTTTTAACATTTTTTCCAGTCTTGCTTTTAATAAAAAAAAAAAATATAGACAGCTTACAGCTTTTATTGTTAATTTTCATAAAAAAATTAACTAGTTTAAAAATACAGGCTTTAGTTGGTTTATGTGAATTTTTAAAGATTTACTGGAGGACCAAAATTTACATAACATGCCCAACACAATAAAAACTACATGCTATGCCCAAAACAGTTGATCTTTTCTATGAAAAAGCCTCATATGTACTTCATCTGCATCACTAAAGTTGTCAGTGATTTTGCAACATCTGTTATTCATCTATGCTATCACATAATCATAGGAAGTCCTTGAAATGTCACATTTAATGATGATGCAATAGATTACTGTAGTAAATAACAATGATATGGACAATAGATTAACTTAGTTTACCAACTGAAACATAGCAAACCAATTACTAGTAGATGCAATGCAAACTTATATGACAGATTAGCTTGTTTGTTTGTTGTTTAGCACAAACCTACACAATAGGCTAGCCATGCTGTATGCACCACTTGTGTCAAAACCTGGTTTTTAGCATTAGAAGTCTTCAATCTTGTGCTAAGCCACTAGAGAATGACAAACTAGTTACTTATCTATCTATCTATATATATATATATATATACATATATATTTCTATTATTAGGCCATGCTTAAAAAATTTGATGTTTCCTATTCATCCCTATGAGGTTTGGGCAGGTAGGTGGGCTATTTTTTCCCCTTCAGGTCACCAGCAGTAACAATTGCCAAAGGCACAAAGTCACTCTAGGAAAAGTACAGAGCATGTCCCCTGGAAACTTTTAATAAAGGAGTCACAAATGGTGCATTCTCAAAGCTTAAATGCAGAAGAAAAAAATCACTTGTTAATTGCTATGTATATATTTTATAGATGAAAAACCCTATTGCATTTTCTTGATATTTTGCCTAACCTTTTCATATAATTAAACATTATTTGCAATATTAAATAAATACTTCTTTAATGGTTGAGAAGTTTAACACATACACATCTGGGTAGAAATAAGAATCAAAATTAAATAGGGCCCTTGCCTATAATGGCTTCTCTTCTACCCAAAAATCAGCATGTCAGATCAGATTATTTCTAGTGCCACTGTGGTTTGCAGCAGTTATTTACTTTGTTTTCAGTGCTTTCAGATCAAATTATAAGTCAGTATTATGTATTTTATCATCTAACATTTACAGATTCTTATTTCTACCCCCACATTTAATGTGGTATCATATGCACATTTAGACACTTAATAAACATGAGTCATGCTATCTGGCTTGTAACATAGCCCCATATTTAGCAACGGTATAATGTAGATGTAACTACTCTAGCTGTGGCTATGCTGGCCTTCTTAACAAGAAACTTGATGTGTGGTATGTTTGTAATCCTTCCTGCAGAACTTCTATTAAGTACTTGCTACTTCACATTACAGCTAGAATAACTGCACTCTAACACTGTGCATATTATGTGTGTCCTTAGCCAGCAAGCCATTTATAGCAGATGGGACACTGGGTATTCTGGTTAGTGATACTTGCCTCTGTTAGTAATTCTGATTTAGAAAGGAAATAAAAATTAACAAGAATTTATAAAAGATTCTTTCAAGTTTGAATATGATTCCTTGTTTCAAAATGATAGGGAGTTCATGCACGGGACCTAAGTATGAAAGTGATGTGTACAAAAGTGTATCAGGTTGAAGTGTACATAGCTTCATATAAGATTGAGGTTGGTTTGAATATATCTGACATGCTATGACAGATATATACATGTAGTTGTGCATGGGGTTGGGAGATACTGTGGCCATCTTACACATTTTGTTAGACACCTGTATTTCCTATTATCCAATAAACCAATCATTCTTCTCACACTTACAGCTGTTACTCGACTGCCAGGGTTTCTTCCTTTGCCCATCTAAACATTGGTCTGATTTTTTCTTGCTTGCTCCAGTCTTTTATACCTCACTTTATTGCCCTTGGCAATATTTGTCTCATGACACTCTCCACCTATGTCAATGTGCCCTCTATCTTGGTATTGTATAAAAGCACCTCATTCAAATAATTTTATCACTTTTTCGAGGCTGACTCAATCCCAGTCTCTAACACTAACTCTTAGTGGGGAGGAAGGGCAAGAAGTGTAAGTAGAGGTAAATATGTTTTGGCAGTTAACATTTTCGTATTATTCAAAATGTGTTTTGAATAATACATACCTCCTCTCACCTGTTTATAAGGGAGCGTTTCTAAAAATGGAAGGAGGTGAGCGGGATGCCACTATGTTTGATTTATTACATGAGCAATACCTTAGCAAATAGAAAAGATAAGAACTTCTTATTTTATATTCTAGCTTGTCAATATCTGTAATTTGAGTTTCTAATTCGTAAGAAACTAAAGACTTAGTATTTTGACCTCACAAACATCTAATTTGAACCAGTGCTGCATTCAACATACCATGTGACACACAAAAATCAATGTTTATCTGTGTTTTTTTAATATTTACTTTAAAAAACTGAGTAATGTATAGTTCTAAAATTTGAATTATGATCTACAGTTTGATATCAAACTTACTGACATAAATTCAAGAAATATTAGTTCAATAAAATTTTGAATGCGAGTCAACAAATGAGATGACATGGCCTTTTACCTGTGACCCATATAGAAAGGGTTAATTCAAATGTTTAAATACTGAAGAAGGATACACAGATGTGAAAGTGTATTCACATACATTATTAAATGCCAAGGAATAGTACAATAACACAAAACTTCAGACAAAATTGAATACTAATTTCTCCCCAATCACTCAAAAGTAGAGAAGTGTTAATCATACACTTCTAATGAAGCACAAGCCATTCAGCTTTAACTGTCATCAGCACACCCGGAGTCCACATGGATCCCCAACGACTTTCTCAGTTGTATATCTTTTACATAATCATTACAAATTTATATCAACTCATGTAATTGTGAAGCAGAAACCCTGGATCAATATGACACCATTATTTTTTGAACAGGCAGACAGAGTAAGTAGCTATAATTTAATATTTACCTGGAGTCCAAGCAGACCCCATACTATCACCGACCATCACTATACATGCAGTCCCTCCCTACAGCATAAACAACAAACCTCTAAACATTTATTTCATTATATAGGCTGTTGCAGAGGATAATCCATCAAAGTAGCACAGTATCATCTGGTCTGTTTGCTTACAACATCATTGTGGTAAGCATGTATACACATTTCATTCCTCAACAAGTGTTCTCTGTGATGACTACTTATAATGCCCATTTTATAGAAACCTTGTTTGATAATTGTTGTAGATAACCTGCTTATTGGATGTTCAATCCATAGCCTACTATAAGGATACATTTGTGTTTGGGTCTAGTCAGACCCAAGGTGACTCACAATGTTTTGTTTGAGTTGAATTTTGGAGTATTGTGGTAACCCCATCATATATTGGTGGATAATGACTTGAATATAGTTTGTGTGAGGAATGGGTTAATACTACATATTTGTATAATGAGGAACAAAGTAATTATGTAATTTCTTGATTTGTAAACATATTTCCTCTAAAATACATATTTTTATATTGTTTACATTGCATGCTAACCCTAATAATACTTGTAATGCAACTGTTTTTTTGGAATTTCAATCCAGAGCTTACTATAATAGTAATTTTGTGCTAGGGTCCACTTGGACCCCAGGTGATTGCACAACATAACTTTTCAAAGGTGTACTGATGAGAGTTAATACCAAAATTTAAACACACACCACAAACCAAGTATGGTATAGAAACTGGCAGTTTATCTTCTGTTTCCATTAGTTAGAAGGTTCATGAATGCATTTTTCTGCCCTGGTCCAATGATGTTTGTAAGTCTTCATGGCACAATATTAGTTTTAATAATCCTAATAATGAAATATTAACTCCTCAGCTGAACATCAGAAAAATACACATTAACAACAAATTGTGACAAAAAAACAATACAAAAATCTGTATCTTGCTTTTGTTTCCCTGATGGGCATTTCCTTGAACAAAGATTAATATGACTTCCATGATTTCATGACTTGTATGAATCTTAAAACCAGTTGGTATATGTTCTACAGCTACAGTCATCTTTCTCATATCTGAGTAGTTACAATTGAACTTATACATTGCAATCAACAGTAGTAAACAAGACTTGACATCTTACCAATAAAACTTAGGAATTAACAGAGAACTAGTATACCTACTACAAAACCTTTGACTGTACAGGAATGCTATGTTGAACAGTATTAGTGCTTAGTCTCTGAAATGCAACTCCATGTAATTGCAAGACAGAAACCCTCACTCCCAAGTAAATAACTATCATATTGGAAAGAAATCAGACCTAACTGGATAAGTGACAGATACAAAATCTCAACTACATAAAACAGCATACCAGTAACTAAATTTCACCTGGACACTAATTCTAACTCTTGGCATGAAGACAGGTCAATGCCAGGAAGTACGCAGTCTTTTACAGACTGATCTTCAAATGTGATGTATTCAAGATCTGGTCTGATCACTTACAAGTGTGATAACTGGGAGGCTAGACAGTACTTAAATAGACAGTCACTCTTAGAACTTAGGTCAAATTGCTTTATTCTGTTCTTGATCATGCAGAGGTTAGTAGAATCAGTGATATTGCAACATAAAACCATGTTAATTCTCTGGAAAGATGGTGACACCATTACTCTGAGTGCTGGGAAATAACTCGCATGGTTGCGTTCACTGCGCAAGTCCTTTTGCGCATTTACTGGAAGGGTATTGCTGATACATATAAACAAGCACATAAGCAGCCGATATATTTTGCAGAAAAAGTTTGTTGATTTATAAAGATTATCCTAAGATGATAAGTAGCATTCAGAAAACTAAATACTTTGCAGAACGAAAAGGCTACATGGCAAAATGACCAGGTTATATATATATATATATATAAAGAAGAAGAAGAAGACGGGAGTTCAAATTTCTCAAAAAATTTTTAAAGCCCAGACATTTTTTCTGGATTGGCCACCAACTCAAACAAACAAAATTTTATTTTTGGCCTTATAACACATTTAATACACATGCATGTTCCTACAATTATTTTACATGTTAATACTAAATGTTTGACTGTTATTTACAAAGGAGACATGTACTTAACATAAATAAATTTCAACTAGAAATTTAGCTCACTGAAAAACTGTATATTGCTATAAACTAACAAAACATGCAACAATTTGGGTAAAAAACAAATATTCCATTTCAGGTATACAAATTAGCCATCAGCATTTAAGAAAGTTCAGATCACAATTACAAATTAGAGAGAAAATAATAGTTTTGATTTTTGTTGTTTTTCTCTCAAAAACATGGGGATGACAATATGCAAAAATGATATACTCAATAAATAAAAGATGTATGTTTTATCTGTACAATGTTATGCAATATGAACAAAAAGGGATTAAAGTGATACATATAATAAAACACATTTGCTGTTATGTTAAACTTATATTAAAGAGTTTCTTCATTACCCATTCAAGCTGTCTTCAAGCATTATTAGTCTCAAAGTGTGTTCCTCGCCATTGAATTTAAACACTAGGATCATTAAGTAAGCCTATCAGAGGGGTGAGGATGTGTCAGTAACCCACACTCATATGGTTTTCTTAGCTAATCTGTGACAACTTGCATATCAACAGCTTTCTGAAAATCTAAGTATTCCAAGTTCATACCCTATTCATCATTCATATGATGAATAACATCCTTAATAAAATGCTAACACATTAGTAGGGCAAGATTTCCCTTTAGTGAATCCATGTTGGTTCTCTTATTTGATATTTTACAAATGATTTTGCAAAGGTATCAGAATCTCTGCAATTGTTCCTGTTACACAAGTAAGACTAACTGGCCTATAATATGGCCTATGATATAAAAACAACTCTCATCACTTCCTTTAAAAATATGAATAACACTGGCAACTCTCCAATCCTCAGGCACTTGCCCACTGTCTATATACCTACCAAAAATGAGGGAGATGGGCTTGAATATCTAACCTTAAAATACCCCCCCTCCCAAGAAAAAAAAAATAATGAAACCATAGAACCATACCTGCATCAAAGGATAAATGTCTATATGACTCAGGTCAATTTCAATATTTGTTTCATAGAATGCTCAGGGTTTATTTCAAATATCCCCTCTTGTGAAAAAAAAAAGAACATTTATAAACTCAACCATGTCACAACAACAACAACAACAAAAAAACATTTTGTCATCAGTATTCTTTGAGGTCCCAATCCTCATTTTTCCTACCTTAGAAATATATAGATAAAATATTTCATATTTGTTTTTTATCATTATCAGTCTCATTACTATTATTATTTAAGGCAAAACAAAACACTAAAGCAAGATAAAAAATTAGAACAAAAAAGTATGTAACTACTAAAAACACTACCAAGAAAAAAAAGTTACCATCCAATATAAAAAAAAACATGAATTACAGCTAATTAAAAATGACATAATAATAGCATTGCAATTAATATACTCACAAAATCAAAGGTGAAAAAAATAAAGAAAAAATTTTACAAACACTCGTAATAGACAAATTCAAAGTGTCCAAAATAATAAAACATCTTGATTAATAAATAAAAGCAACCAAACTAAACTGAAAAGGCCTGAACACAGAAAATCACTGTAAACCATGAGAAGCCAAAAAACATAATCTGCTCCTGTTTCAAAAGAAAAAAAAAAAACTGTTTAAAATAGAAAAATACTACACCTTAACTACAAGGAAGAAAGACCATAAACATATAAAAAAACATGTTCAAATATGCAGGATTAAACTAAAACTGGTAAATATATTACAAAACCCAAAGCAAAAAGTAAGAATAAGCTTAAAAGCAATAAAAAAAGTAAAAAGAAGAAATCACTCTAGCAAAAATACAATAAAAGGGTATAAAAGATAGTAAAAGATATACAACAAATTATTTTATGCATATGTAAACTGACAGAAAAAATAGAAAATACATGAATTTACTTTTAACATATACAATAATTTGTAAAACTAAATGGATAGAAAAACAACCATCAAACATTCTTTTAATGCACATCCAAGATTCCACCAAAATATGAACACCAACTACATGTGAATAATAATTTATATATGTAATAAAAGCTGCATTATAAATTATAACACCTTACGCTACGTAACAAACAGAATAACATTTAATACATAAATGCTTATGCAGCTATCCAGAAATCAGTAGTAAAAAATAGAGTGTATTTAGTATCTTATCAGAAATACAATAAAAACTTTATAACAGTAAGCATAAAATTGTAATCCACTTAACCACTGAATACATTGCAAATTTGGTTATTTTCATGTACCTAATATTACCTAGATGATGAAACACCAATAAGACACTAGGTAGTTTGCCCTTAATCAAATATTAGTAATTTATATTGGTATAGTTTTTAAGAATATCCCTTAAGAGCAAGAATTGTGAATATGAATAACCAAAAGCTATACTCAAATTCGAAATCAATATAACACATTAATTATGTAATACTGTCCAAAGTGATTACAATTATAAACATGATCAAGACACTGCCACTCGATCAGATGCTAATACTACTATGTAGTAGATATAATTTTTGCACTGCTAGTGGCAGCAGTGTTTTACTGTTAGTGTTACTGTTAAGTAGCTTATGTTTACCATTGCTACTAGAACTAGCAGTAATACTAAAATCACATGATTTTGTTTTGCACTACAGACTATAATGTTTACTCAATGTTATAACATACCTAAAACAATAGGTGTCACCTTGCTTCGTTCATATTTTTTATAGGTAGAATCCAGCGATTTCCCCTCGCATCTTAGATTTTCGTAAACAGAAATTAGGGTTAACATTAAAATCAAAGTGAATATAACTGGTGATAGGCTTAACCTTAATGGTACAATTCTAGCTGTATCAGAAGAAATAAAACAGGGAAATTGTTTTCTTATTCTAAACATATGTTGGCTCTTCAATTTCAAAACAGCAGGCTGGAGATGCTAACACAAGCTGACTAGTCTATTCAGCAAAAACAATATGGTTATATATTAAGTGAAAGTCTATTGTAAACTGTATAGTATTTACGGATGGATGATAAACACACTACAACAGACCTATGGTACACACAGCCTTGAATTTAAATATCACGTGCTCTGTTAATGTTATATGGCGTGATGTAAGGTAATACTCCAAAGATAAATTTGCCATCTGGTAGCAAAAATGCTTTATAATTGGACGAAAGATTGTATCGTAACTTTGTGTAAAGCAACAATAGTTGCTTTTTCTATTCCTTCACATCCACCCGATTCCCTTACCACCCTATAAAGCAAAAGCATGGATAAAACCATATCGATCAATGCATCTATAGAATCTCCAATTCTTAGATAATTATATATACATTAGTTTCATTTTACATTTATGTCTAAAATAATCTTACGCTCTGCTTTAAGCGTACATTTATATACCCGTTTTATTTAAGTATATGGCCGTTATAAACATTAAATTCAAGTTGTGGTTTTAATATTGGTATTAATACACGTTGAATCAAGACAATTTATGCGTTTTACTTGTACATTACAAAATATATTATGCGTGACACAAACAAACCCTGATGATAGCATGATATCGATATGACCACACTGTACAAATTTAACTGGGATTGTTTTCTGATTATAGATAGTTTGTTATCATTATAATTGTTCATTAGTTTTATACTATGTGCAGAAATAAATTTATAAATAATATTGCCCGTTTTTCTTTATTAACTCAAAATTATCACATTTTTTATGGGAGATTGTTAAACGACATTCAGTTTGAGGGAACTGAGTCCAAATCATTTAATGTATGTTTATTTAGTGAATTTCACGCAAAGCTACTCGAAGGCTATCTGCCCAAGCCGTTCCTAATTTAGCAGTGATAGGCTAGAGGGAATGCATCTGGTCAACATCACCCACCGACAACTATTAGGTTATTCTTTTATCAACGAAAGTGGGATTGATTATCACATTATAACACCCCCAAGGCTCTGTAAGAGCGAGCATATCCGATAACGGGAAGATCATTTACAAAAGCTAAATAAATTTGTATTTATTATAAATGTTTATTCTAGCCTAAAATAACTTGCATTATTTATTTAACTGGTATTGTTTTTTATTCCCAAGATTATTTAGAAAATGATAAAGAAATTGCACCAAAGTCAAATATAATTCCATATTAATAACAGGAATCTATTGCGATTTGCACATGTATTATATATCTACATAGTTGATCGTAATTTACCGACTTATCTACAGAGGGTGATAATTCAGTAATTGGGTAAACAGTGCTTGTAGCCTTCATATGTAGACTTTGTCATCTGAGAAGTTCACTAACCATCCTTAATATAAACAACTACATGTGAACGCACTTGTAAAATGAACTTTGGATTTTTCGACCAACGTATTTATGTCGCCTACATTAATTATATTTTTTATTCTTCACCTTTAATACTACTAATCGAATCTAAAAATTGTTCGAATTGTTATAATTTAAGGTTTCATTGCACTAGATATCTAATTCCCAAATCTGACATTTTCCATTTGCTCTAAGTAAGGTACTGCTAGAACTGACTGTAAGTTGTAATGGTATTACTGGGGATTAATAATTTTTAGTTTCCATTTCTCATACATAGCTATTTCTGTTTCTTATCATAACTTTTCTTAATTAAAAGGCATTAATATCATTAGGTTTTTATTTTCTAATTTATCTTTTTTTTTTCCTGCGTGATTTCTTGGTATCACTCGCCCGTAATTTTATGTGTTGGTAATTATAGTTTGGAAAGGGCCACACAACTTTTGTAATGTAAATTTACACAATTGCTCTCTATTGTTACACAACCTTTAAGAAAATTTACATAAACATTTGTGTAACTAATATAATGAAAAAGTAAAAGGGGGCTTTATAATAAACATTATTTTAAGAGAAGAAACCAATAAATGAAAATAAACTCCAAGATTAGGCCTTGAACCCAGGACCATTAGATAACTGAGTCACTGCTCTATCAATTGAGCTATCAAGCGTAAATCCATCCTCCTTTCCTTTCTCCCAAGAAAACAAAACATATTTGTTACAAGACAATAGTATTAGGTTTATTGTATTTGAAACACTGCATTCCTTATTACATTTCTTAGGGTTTATTTTTTCTAGAAGAAGAGTGTTTAATTGTATTTCAACCACATGTCCGTCAAATACTGTTGTCTGATGACAAATGTAGTTGATTGTAATCACATTTTGTCAGTAAAAAGCGTTCACTCCACACAAAAAAAAAAACTATAATGATTAAAGTATTCTGAATTAACAGTTGAGTACCGTTACTATTAATGATATTTTCTACCTTTATCCCACTAATGATCCCAGTGGCTCAACGGTATGTCTGAAAGTTTATGACGCTAAAAGCCGGGTTTCGATACCCGAGGTAGGTACAGCACAAATAGCGCATTGTGTATTTCTGTGTTTAACAAAAAATAAACAAAATTTCGATAATATCTCAAGATGCTCGGTCAGCTAACTCACCTTAGAAGATTTAAATTAGTTCCAAATTCGTACTTTAAGCCAAAAATGCAAATTAATCTATATAAGTGTAATAGTAAAATTGTAATAAAAAAGTCTACAAAGCCGAACATTTTTTTTTTTTTTACATTTTAGGCCTTTGTTAGAAAACCTAAGAATCTTTTTTTTTAAGTTCATGGGCATTAAGTACCAAAAACATTTATATAAAAAACACAAGTAATGCTTAACTAAGACAACAGTTTCATCAAATTGGAGTTTCTGTGATAGGGATCAAGGATGTTTGGGAACAACTGTTCAGCATCTTTATATTTTATACCCTCCAACTAATGGTGTTTGTCAAGTTGTCAACGAATTATTTACAGCTGATAAGTGGGGCAACGTAGGCCCACATATAACTATGGATTTTTTACGGGATTACAATTTACAAAGTTTATTCTTCCTGGATACAAACTTTTAGAACACATAAGTTTCACAATGAGTAGTTTTCTCATCATTTTAAACTTAACAACTTTATAATACACGCTATAAATCACAGCGATTCACAACCACAAGCGCAAAACACACACTTTACAGCTCACTAGCTCGAAACTAACAGAATCATAAATTACACGGAACTCAAAGTAACTACTGCTCTCTCTTCATTCATCCCTGCTGGCTTTCCCTGCCAGGCTTATATACTAACGAATAGGGCATCTCGAACACACTCGGACTTCCACGATCATTCGAGAAACTCATCACGGACACTACCAGCGCCAACGAGCCAGCGGTGTCACGTGACTTCCGCTGCCATAACATATTCATACTATTCGTAGGCAAGCCAATCAACTTTCTGCACTCTACATCGCACAATTGGCCTACTCACGTCATACATAAACCCTCTCACTTTCTCTCTCTTTAAAAATAAGCAGACTCGGTCAAATGATTTTTATTAAGCATTTTCTTGAAAAAGAAAAATGAAAACGAGTCTTTTTTTTATAGCAGGCCTTTTTTGAGTCCAGGCCTAGGTCTGCATCCTCAATAGTCCTCGCCTTAATTCGCCCCTGTATGCTATTTGAATTTTCACTTTCAGTATTAGTTAAAGTTGAGAATCCGAGTGACTTGTGGTCGTACCTCTCGCTTAAGAATGTCATTGTTTTCGTGCTTGACTTATTGTCATTGGACTTTCATATCGTAAAATAGAAAACATTTAACTTACTGAAGAAGTTTGATGTTCTAAAGAATGATATTTGAAACTTAATTTTTTTATGAATACTCTGCCTAAACAACCTATCAAAGATATTTTATTTGTTGCTACTGTTCTAGGTAAGATTCCATATTCAAAAAACTGATGATTGGCATTATTTCTCTCACTATTTAAACCGTTGAAGGAGGGAGAATACGAATACAACACAATAGCACAGGATAACACAAGAGCATCACAGGTGGGTAGTAAAGTAAGTATGAACAGAATAATTTGAAAGCTTTGTTTTGTAGTTATGCACAAAGCTACACAGTGGGCTATCTGTGCTCTGCCCCATGGGTATCGAAACCGTTTTCTAGCGTTGTAAGTCCGCAGACATTCCGCTGTGCCACTGGGGAGAGGGGGAGCAATTTGAAAGCACTAAATCTAATCCATTTCCAAGAATTTCAAAGTAGTCAGGACCTAATGAAAGTCGTGTTCTTGATGTGAGGAGAGTACTGCACATAACCATAGTTATTTTTCTAATTGTCTGAATCTTGAATACCAAAAGTGTGAAATTTATTATGGATTTATGTCTGTCATGTTAGTCAATAGATGAAGCCACAATTCATAATCACCATTTCTAGCATTGAGATCTTGTTGTATTTCAGCACAACAGATGTGACCATTGTATTTATAATTTTGGTCCCATAGATAGATAGATAGACGGCCACGCCATTGTTCCATTATAGTAAGATGTTATTAATTAGAACTAATATAGTGCTATCACAGTAAAAAAGTAAAAAATTGTTCCAAATAATAGTACATAAATACGTATGGTAAGGTTATGGCAATCGAATGTCAGTCGTTGTTATGTTTAATAGCATATCAGCTTTTTCCTATGAAGAATACTCAGGATTAAATCATAGCCATTACCGCCACGAAAAAAAAAAGGGGGGGGAGAAAATATTCTACTTCTCTTAAAGCGGCAGCAGATTACCAAAAAAGGAAGAAAGTGTAGAAATAGCTAATATAAATCCTTCAAAAACAATGCAAACAAGATAGTAGGGATGACATTTGCATCATCCCTACATAATAGCACAGGCACACAGTACAGTAGAATGTTAACAAACAAAAATAGGATAAATTAAACTCAATTGTGATTTAATAGTTATATACAGTGTATATTGCTATATGTTGTTTTTTGCTTGTGCTATTATGTAGGAATTATGCAAATTCCATCCCTTTTATCTTGTATGGATTGTTTTTGAAGGATTGATATTAGCCATCTCTATATTTGATTTTTTATTGAAAAGCTTTTTCTTTACTTGTTTGCTTGTTTTTAAATGCAATGTTTCAATAGACATA